TTGCAACGGCTTGGTCAAGGCGTCTTTTCAGCGGTTCACTTGCTGCGTCCCCCTCGAAAGGGGGCTTTGAGGAATATTGTTTTCTTTTCAACAGTAGGTGCGATGGTTCTTATTTGTTTCTCCGCCATATTCCTTGTAATAAATCTCTCAGGATACCCATTTTCACGCAGTAGGTCCTCGATTTTCTTGAGCTCCTCCTCAATACTGTCTGCTGCGCAAATTTTTCTAGCCCTTTGCACTAAGCATCTAACTAGATTTCGCTTCTGTTGAAGGGGTACGAAACTGTTAAAATTCGTGTACTGTCCAGACCAGGTTTTAATAGTTTCGTATCCCTTCAACAGAAGCGAAATCCAGTTCGATGCTTAGTGCAAAGGGCTAGAAAAATTTGCTCATAACAAGCGGTAAGCATGCTGCACGTCCAGTTTGCCATTAAATGCATTCAAATAGGTGGAGATAACAACATCTTCGAACTGAACGCTCCACATTGCAACCGCTCAAATACTGATCAAGAAAGTGCGTCAAGTGGATATTGCTTTGCCTGGGTTTGGTTGTAGGGGTGGCCGCGCAAGGTGGGTACGATAGCCTCAACGAAAAAATTCATTGGGAACAAAGCAACTGTCCAGGCTATTCATAATGCGGAATTGTACTATGGGGCACCGTGGTAGTTGCCTGTATAAAGGGGAGATAGACTGAGAGTCAACAATCTGCTTTTGTATTGGCCTCGTTTTCTAAGCCATGCTTTCCACGCACGCCTCTGAGCGGGCCGTATGTCTGTTTCTCGTGTCCACTAAGCACGTGCGCGCCATAGCGTGTCAAAAGCAGGTTAATGCCACGGACATGTGTCCAGCCTTTGTCTGTCCTAACTGGCCAATCGCTTTCCAGAGTTACTTCACAAAGGATTTCATTGCGGTGACTGCCTACGCTCAGATACTCCAGGACCCGGCGTCTTCACTGCCGGACTGCGATTCTGGACCCGGCCCACTAATGGCTGGACTGAACTTGTTCGAGAGTCAGTTACTCATACTCTACTTCTGCACTTAATTAAATTATTAATAACACGTTGACCTTCCACCTCTTATCTACTGGTTTATAACCGTTGGGATACGTTCATCTTCTATCACCCGACCAAACTACGTCTCCTACACTTTCCTAGGGCAGTATTCTCATACCCTTGACCATTTTTGCCGCCCACATCTGGACCTTCTTTAAGCTGTGTAGGGGTCTAAGTCATGGTTGTACTTGGATCAATATAATCATCAGGTCGAATCTCAATTTGAAGGTAAAAGGCGAAAACACCAGAGGGAGGCATTTACTGTGAACAGTAGCTTGAATTCCTGTCTCAGGCAGCAGTGGTCGGGCCCGAGTGTCCGAATGCGTGTGTTTGTAAGATATGTGATAATGACAGATACATTTACATGACCGTGAATCGATTTCAAGTGGGTTATGATTAGTGTGTTGCATTGCCCGGAATGGGATGTCGAGTTTTGGGGCCCTTGCTGTGTCAGTT